TGTATTAAGTTATTAACTATTAACTCTTCTTGCGCTTGACTTTTGGTTTGTATTTTGTAATATCACTATTTTGTGCTTATGGTTGTTGATGGTTGTGCTTATGGTTGTGCTTATAATGCAAGTTAGTGCTTATGGTTGTTGATTGTTGAATGCTTTCTGAAGCTGGTTTCAAGTTTTTAGTTTCTTAGGAGATAGTGGATAACTGGATACAGAATCTCCGACAGCTAATAGTTTTAAAGTTAATCATTAAACTAAAATACCTACTATCACATATATCACCTTCTTATTTTTTTCTATGCATTAACTTATTTTTTTAGAATTTTTTTACATTTATTGACCACATCATCGCGATGTACCCGCATCCGGGCCGCATCAAGCCTCATCGGCCCCCCACCGCATCAGGGTCGCATCCCACATTTTAAAACACTGAGCTGGATGCATGCATGGTTTCTCGGTATGATCTCGGGCACCTATGGTATCTCATCTGCAGTACGCACACGATACTTTGGTATTCGACAATGCCACAACTGAAGAGATCCATAACTTTTTCCTGTTCCTCAGATGCTTCCAATTTGCAACTGACTTCAAAGTGAATTTCGACAAAACCAAGATGATGGGTGTTAACGTTGATTCAACTACACTCTCTATCTTTGCCAAGAGATGGGGTTGCGAGGCTGAAACATTGCCATCTAAATACCTTGGACTGCCACTCTGCCTTGGCAAACCAAAATCAAGACTGTGGTCTCACATCATAGACAAAGTGGACCGTAGACTCGCAGGATGGAGGGCGCTTCCTCTCACTGAGAGGCAGGCTAACACCAGTCAAAGTCACTCTGGCTAACATCCCGGTCTACCAAATGTCCATCTTCCACATGCCCGTGGCAGTCAATTCCATAATCAAACTCTTAATGAGAAGGTTTTTCTAGAGTGGAGATGGAATCAATAATAAATTCCACTTACTTGCTTGGGATAAACTTTGCCAGTCCAAGCAAAGGGGAGGGCTAGTGATCAAGAATCTTATAACCCAGAATTTGGCTCTCTTGGGCAAATGGTGTTGGCGCATAACAAACCTCAGGGATCAGTTGTGGATAGACATACTCAAACATACGTAGCACCGCTCCAATACACCATGGTTGCCGAATTGTAGGACAAACCAAAGATCCACCGACATCTGGAGGTCGATATGCTCTGCCATCCATGCTTTCAAATCCACCTTCTTAGCACCCACAGGTCCAGATCATATCATTTGGACACCTACACCCTCAAGACTCTTCACAGTGTCATCCTGTTATAAAAGCCTCTCTCTACCCCCAACACTCCCCTTAGCGCCTGTCGCTACCGCTGCTCAAGCCTGGGACTCCTTCGCCCCCCCCAAAAATCAAGATATTCATGTGACTGTTATATTCTAGGTAACCAATCACCGCTATTACAAAGGAATTCCAGCCTTGGTATTCAGCCACGATTGGCACAATGTCCTTCAAACCCATCGAGTGGGTCTGCCAAGGACCACTAGGTGGAAACCCCCACCAACAGGACATCTCAAACTAAATTTCGATGGATGCTCTATTAGGAACCATGGTCCATCAGGAGTAGGAGCCATCCTTAGAGACCACCAGGGCTCTGTTGGAAGGCTTAAAGCTCTGTTGGACGGCTTAAAGCTCATAGACCATCCCCACTTACACTCTCTAGTGGTGGAGGGAGACTCCAAGAACACTATTTCTTGGGTTCAAAAAATCTCTCTTTCTCCTCCCCCCGGTTCTTGGCACATGTGTTTGATGAGATTGATCACCTCTGCAGGAATATGTCCTTCGAGTGGATGCATACATGGAGGGAAAGAAATC